TGGCAGATCGCTATAAGCACAGCATACAGAAAAACGAAAAATTGGAAGTGATTACTAATTCTGGGAATTTACAGCATTATGATTGCCGGCAATTTTCCGTTAAATGATTAGTGTTTGCATAACTAAATGTGCAATTATATATCATTAGATATTCACCGGATAATGTTCTTTAAAACCGACAATCAACATGTGGTGGTAGGCTGTTTAAAACATGCAGTGAGTCACCTCAATTCGTATTAAATAAAATCAAGGAATAACATTGTCATTGATTGAGATATTAAAATTAAATAACACAATGCTCATAGTCGCTGAAGTAATTGTAATATACATTACAGTAATAAAATATAAGTGTTAAGAATAAAAGTCGTTCAATTTTATTTAACTTTAACTCGAGTCCGATATCTCGGGAAATACAGCTTCCTATCATCTCGAGTGAATATTCTAAATTTTGCTAACTGATCATCGTATTCCGGAATTTTCCAAATATGGCTATGCAGGAATTTAACAATGGTCGCATGAGCACATGCAGTTGTCATGCACTGATGACCAAGTCACAGACCATAAGCTGGTTTATACACTATCAAAGTTTCTGTCAATCACAGCATGAATTTCGCATGGGTCAAAATTCTAGGTTTTAGAAGATTTTGTAAGAAATGTTTGAGGGAACATGCAGACTCGATCAGTGTTAATGACATTAAACACTAAATAGGTCATTCCCTCAAAAATTTCTTACCTTCAAACCTTAGAATTCACCCATGAAAAATTCCAGCTGTGCATGATCACAGAAACTTTGACAGTATTAACCAGTCTTATATGGTGTCGATGTGAAATAGTCTGGACTATTTTAATATTTTTTTAATGAGTACGCAACTGAAATCATCAGCTCATGCTAGTATATGCACCATCGAAGCTTCGATAGTGTCACCAACTACCTTGTGCTTGCGATCGAGGCTTTATTGCTTCGATTCTTGGCTGGCGTAACCAGTGTATCGATCGTTTCCAAATTTAAATTGTCGTATCTCAAGTCCTTCAATGGATTTTATTACTCTTTGTACGAAACAAACCACATGGCGTTATCGGGATAGGGGTTTAGAAATCACCAATAAAACCGACCATGCTCTATAATGTAAAATGTATAATGTATAATGTATAATGTATAATGTATGATGTTTATCACTTTTCATAAAAGAGTGTAAAAATTAACGTACTACAAAATTATCATTCATTTGTATATATGCGTGGCCAATGTGACACTAATATGTGAAACGGCCAAGGGTTCTATGTACTGTTTAATAAACGAGCAGGAGTGTTTTATTAGGTTTATCTAAACAAGTCTAGACAAAAATTTCATCATAGCTTGATAGAGCATCACAATTCAAGTTGAGATCAAAATTCAGTCTGTTACGCAAATGGTCAATTGTGCATTCCAACCCCGACAGCAGCATGCGTACCAATTTTTTAGTTGTTCAGGTAGCAAATGACCACATAACTCCTTTTTTTGGCAATTCCCAGGGGTATACATGATATTTTTGGCGCTTGGATTGTATATTTGGCTATTGCTTGTAACAACCTTAATTTAATTGAAACAGCTGTGCAAGAACAAGACAAGATTTGAATACGTTACACGTACGTATTTGGTCATGACAGTGTTTCACTTAATGGGGCTAGTAACGGCGTGGGCATGCAGTCATACACTTTGATAACACTGACCAATTAATTAATCTGGGACAGGATGGGCGAACCGTGTGTGAAGCTTATTCCGCCTTAGGCCGGATGACATTCTACTTCTGTTGTGTCACCCACACATGACACATGGTCAGCATATCAATGCTCCCAAAACTAAAAAAATGTGCGCGTGTTTTACGTAAAACTCAAATAGTTAACAATTATTGAATTCGGTTTTCCCAAGATATGCCGGAGAAGTTTGTGTTATCAACCGAAGCAGCTGAGCTTGACAATTCGTAGTCATATCTTGGCCTCTTGGGGAAACCGAATTCAATAATTAGGATTATTTACCAGAATACTATTACTAGGTGTGCATGTGATATCATATAATGTATGAATAAATATCAGCATTTGTGCGGTCTCACAAGATATAACTAATTGTATAAAATTAACGGTTTCCGAGTGTAAATTTGATACATTTATTATATGCAAGCAACCATGCAGGCCGGGGCAGATGCAAAAAATGCAACTACATGCCCTCTGGCAGGCCCATAGTCGGATTCCTGCCAGAGTGCCTATAGTAGTATTTTTCGCAGCTGCTCAATGCCAGGTCTAATAAATCGTATAAAATTTACCCTCCGGAACTTCACCATACGATATCACTCAGCATGTACCATTTTTGGCATTTAATAGAAAATTAATTTCAATTATATTTGAGAATACAAGGAGAAGTTTATCGAGTATCCTAGTTGATTTGTAATGTAAAACATTTACTTAAAAAGGGTAGCCATGCATGACAGAAGACAAGCTTCTGCATGCTATATAAATAGCGGCCTTCAAATCTCGATTTTATTAAAAAAATATTAATAACTTGTACACTATCGTGTAGGATGGTGATGATCAATCGATGTTTACCGTCATACATGGTGCTAATTCTTTTTCATTCTGTAATGATGCCCTCTAACTGGTGGCTAATATAATTGAAATAGAAATAAAGAAATGTAGTATAAATTGATAGATATCGACTGCTTCTGGGCCTTCTGCCTTGTTGAACTGCTCACTACAACAACGCCGGCCGGAATGATTAGATGGAACTTAGTACGACATGACAGACGCGTATTCGAATAGTGAAAATCATGATAACTTATTCCTTCCATAAATAAATCTTCTCAAATAGTAATTTTCACAGTATATCGTCCTTTAAGCACGATATTGCATGAGTTTGTTATAAACGCCGCACAACGGCTAATATCTTCCTAACAGAAATAACTAAAAATATATTACAAGTACCGCATTAAAAATTTCTGTTTTTAACTATTTTCACTCAATTTCCTCCATCTGTGTTTGCCAAAATATAATGTTACCCTGCCCAACGTTACATCACGCTAACGTATGATGCATGACACAAATGTCCTAATGTTATTGTTGTTTCAAGTCATTCACTCGTTTTGAAACAGTGTCACATGTCTTGACGCAGTAAAGCCCGGTTCTTACACCACAGGAAGTCTTCATGCTGGATACTTGAAACATCATCCTTTTCTGAAATGCATATTCTTTCAAATAAGTTTTCATATATTTAAATCTATTTTATTTAAATCTATTTTATATAAAAATAATCATATTGAAATTGTGTTATGATGAAAAGATTGGTCACAATTTTCAATTAAATTATCGATGGCGATGCGTGGGTTGACTGCGGCCTATTTCGATTCAGACTGAGTTTCCAGAGGAACACCACTTGCATTCGGCTCACGAGTTTTGCCACTCCCCATCGAACATACGACTTTCATCGTTACAATGTAATACACTATTTCTATGTAACCACACATTTTCAGTTACCAAGTTTGCGTAGGACTAAAGGATCAAGCATTTGCGAAACTGTGTCAGCAACGATGTTCTATTTTTATTCCACTCTTCGCTTCACGGATGACGAATTCGCATCGCGCTCAACATATATAAGGCCCAAGCTGAAAATGGACGCCAAACGTTTTAGAATCGACTACAATCAAAGTTCGACTGTTCGTAAATTATCTCACGCACGGAGTTCAAATTTAAGAGGTAAGGTCAACGATTATTGTGATAATAGTTTGATGACAGTATTGTATGTAGTTGCAATTAGCATAATTAGTGCATGAAAGGCTATATAATTGAATAGGCCATATGTTACAAGATCTTACAATTAGATCTATGGAAATGTGCTAATGTAATAAGTTCTTTGGTTATTAAAATTTCGGCTTACAAACGAATATAAATACTTGGAAGTTACTTAAATGACAAATAAACCTTATCCACAATGTTTTCTGAGTAAAATGTAAAACTCTGAGAAATGCTAAGTATTACTAAGAAATCTGACATTTCCAACTTATTGTTATTTGTAACATTTCGGCTAGTATTTCGATTCCTTTATATATTATACACCATCATTTCTAAAACAGATTTAAAATCGTTCACATATACATTTTGGTATATATTAAACGCTTTCTACAATAAGCTATTATGGTTTGTGCCGGAACTATACTTGAAAAACATACTTTGCTGAAGTGCTCAACAAAGTTCTTCCGTTTGCTAAGACCAAATTTCGAACGTTATCGATTGAAAATTTCTTGTAAATACGAATCAACTATTATTTGTATACTTGCAATTCTTTTCGATGTCTGTAAATCACTGTACAAAATTATTTACCTTAACTTTGGGCTATCAAAAAGATGATCTAACCATTTTCTCGTCACAACTCATAAGGCCACTCTAAATTAGACTTTTGTTTCCCGTTCTCCGCCCGTGTCTCCTAGACTGGCCGCATTTGACATTATTTGACCTTTGTAACTAAGAATCACGAAAATCCAGAGTTGTCAAATATCTATCGTTCATGAAATCCGTACAACACGTAAAAATCGAAATAGTGGTAAAATTCGTGAAGCTTTTGTCAAAGAGCGTGAATTGTTTCCCGTTCGCTGACCTAGACACTTCCATTACAAGTTTTGATTTTCGAACGTAAAAGACGATAAGTTTATCCTAGCCTTCATTTTTGCATACAAAAAATCTAAAACATTGCGTAGAAACGTGGCTGAATGGATTTTTCGTGGAATAATGGACACCATAATGGATAATGGAAATGGACCGGCGGACCACCCGCCCGCGTGTAATTTGAAATAAGGGCCGGACGGGAAAATAAAATCCAATTTATGGAGAGTGGACTAATAATAAATGAACTCTCCTTTAACTATTCCTTATTCCATATCTTGTTATTTCAGAATATAGAAAATTGCATTCTACAGTAAATTAGTTTTTCTTACATTTAATTTTGTCCTCAGTTCGCACTCCTTACATCACATATCATGGAAATTTCAAAGACGCAAATTCTTGGATTTCTGTTCTTCCTGGTAAACTGTCCCAATTTGTTTGCCAAGCCTGCAACACCAGCGCGGAAAGATCTCGGTGAATTGAACAGAAGCATATTTGAATTGCAGAAAATATCTAGTTATACGTGGAGAACAATGGTGAGTGCGTGCTGTATTATGCGCTTTAGTTCTGGTCATGTTATGAAGCGAGGACTGATAATTAAGAGTTGACGAGAGTTGCCAAGCGAGAACGGTTTCCATGGGATTTTAATTTCTCGACTTTTGTGGAGAATGATATGTTTATCAGAGAGTTAATTAGCATCAACTCGCATCAAAATTTGAACCGCCTAAAAGTTGATAAGGGTTAATCAATTGTTGTCGATGCCTGAGTGTTTGCAGTCAAACATGAGCGAGAGAGGCAACTACTAATTTCCATCAACTCTCGTCCTTGTTTGCTGCATGGGGCAGTGGGGAAAGATTCCACCTAGCTGCCGGTCACCCCATCCCAATAATCATTGCATTGGGTGGGGCTCTTATTACTCCCTTATCAAATGCACGTGCCTTCACTTGGCCGATCTGTGGTCGACATGCATGACTCTTCATCAAATGAATGTGTCCATGCACACCTTTGCTAACAGTGGTTCGATTGCAGTTTCCCGTTTGCATTTCAATACCAATCTTATTCCTTAACAAGGACCGTTAATTAAGAAGATCAAAATCATATCCCACTGCGATTACGAGTGTAAACTACAATCCTGGACATAACCCTTGACACCATTCCGGCCAATATGTACTATTTAAAACACGAGTAGGAGTGGGTTTTTTCAGATATAAAACGCGAGGCACAGCCGAGCGTTTTATGTCTGATAAAACACGACAACGAGTGTTTTGAATAGCTTAGAAAAATTCATTAATAATTCATGAGGAAAATACAAAAGAAATGAATGTTTAATTAATCAATGTTTGTAAATCGGATAAAGATTTGTCCTGATTTACATAAACTTCAGCTTTGATTTTCTCGGCTTGACAATGTTTATTTTTAAAATTACTTCGCCAATGAACTCATAAGATGGATCATTTTTTTAAGTACGATAAAACATTCGCATCCGATCTCATGTATCTGATATACAAACTCTCGCCTTCGGCTCGAGTTTGTATATCAGATACAGATCGGCTGCTCATTTTTTATCTAGTACTTAAATACGACTACAAAAGAATACTAATTAGGATGAACCATTATATAATCATACTACGGTAATTAGGATGAACAATTATATAATGCCACACATGCTTTATCAGATATAAAGTCACTCCGCGTGACATATTATGGCTGACATAATTTGCCACAAAGTTTATGAATTATTAATAAGTATTTTAAGACAATGTAAACACACATTGAAAAACAAAATTTGCCACTCCTTCTCTCCCAGTTCAACGTTGTAAACATTGGCGAAAGAACGTCTGCATGGTAGTTTACCCCAACACAAGCTCAACATTGAGCTGCGGAGTTGGGGCTTTAAGAAGCGCAGCATGCTTGATTCAACATGGAATTTGAAGGAAAGGGGTATGCGAGTGTATATAGTGGGATGTACTATGAGCTGGGGGAGTGGGGGCTTTAAGAAGCGCAGCATGCATGATTCAACATGGAATTCGAAGGAAAGGGGTATGTGTGTATAGTGGGATGTATATACTGTGCATGCATAATGAAAAGGTAATCTTAGACCAGTTATCCCAAATATTTTAACTTAAAAAGGTGTATTTTTTCTTTTTCAGGATTGGGTGAGGAAAGACAAGGGTTATCCCGGTCGTTCTGATCCTAATGTGAGTGTTGTGTCTCTCTAGACTCTACTGCATGGTATCAACTCTGCGCATGTCTAGATGCGTCGATGCATAGTTATGAAAACGGCAAGAAATCGACTACCTAATCAAGTTGAATGTGGAGCGTTTGTGGCTTTATAGTGCAAGTGTTTTTCACCACTGCCACATGGCCCTGATTTCTGCAGTTTCCTGACTATAATTTCCCCTCAATCGCATTTGAGAAAGCAATTATTTTAGCTTGACTCTGCCAAACACCGCGCGCAGGTATTCCGTCTCCAGTTATCAGCAAGGAGTAATTTGTTATCATTCGACAACAAAATGCCCCCTAGTACCAAATACCAATCGATATACACTTTGGCTGTACCGTCAAATAGTGACCTTGATTTTTTTTTCTTTCCAGTGTGACACGCCAATCCGTTTGCTGTACAAAAGTTCTGCGTATAACGCAACCACGGTAAGCGAAGAACTAAGTGTTGGTAGCAATGTAATTATAGATCATTCATGTGCGATTCATGAACTTATCGCATATTCAATTTATACCAAAGCCTTTCAGCGGATCCTCTAGTCAGGGGGCGAAATCTCGTCGGGTATTTCCCCAGCCGTAATACCGGGTTTCGCCCATGCCTCTAGTTTCCCCCTGTAGCATCAGTAGACCAATAAGGTCATGTTCATATGAGCCAGGTTTGCCCACGAGACTCTTTTTTTATGCATGGCGTCTTCGAAATATTTTTTGTTGTAATAGTATAAGAAAGATGCACCTTGTATTATGGTTTTAATATAGTGTCTGTTTGCGGGGTCTATCACTGATGTTTTGTAATTTTCCAACTATGCCGTTCAATTTTATACAACACTCATGTAGGTCAAAATCGGCAAAAATATCCATCCCGGTCAGATGGGGATAATTTAGCCTTTATATGGATAATTTTAGCTCACTTGAGTGAGATCACACCTAGCGCAAGACGCATGGGATTACGGCTAGTGACACAAATCGAATTTTAGATGCATTTATAATTAAAGGGATATAAAAAAAACTGATTAACTTTGTCCTATTTGAAAGAACTTTGAAAGTTATATATGAAGTCCATTTACAACCTTTTTGTACCTTGCTTGGTTTTCGGAATATTTTGACCAAAAACAATGTGCAGCCCGCCATCTTGGTATTATAATTGACCTAATTAACGGAGTTTTTGATGACGTCAAAAGCAGGGTAAATTTGTTAAAACTTCTTCATGTGGGACTAAATTTCTTCGAAAAATTTCTTAAAATGTTGTGAGTCAATTGAGTACTAAAAAGACTTCGGAAAATCGAGTTTGCATATTGACAATGACAAGTGGTTTGCAAGATAAAAATTACTTGTGACGTATATGCATATCGAATGCATATCCAAGATGGCGGAATGCACGCTGATTATGATCAAAAGAAGTCGATTTATATTGCCATATCCCTTTAATAACGAAGGACATGCAAATCTCACTCAGGCGAGTTTCCCGGTTAGCAGTATAAACTGATGTGAACCGGCCCTAAGAGGATGGGTCGCAATGGACCTCTGGCCTAAGGGAAAACAGAGCTACTCGCAAAATGTCACCCCGTTAAGTACCTATTCCACATGTAGTAACAATGCCAGGTTGGAATCTGTGGGTGTTACGCTGGATATCTCCGGGCGGCGTAAAATGTTCTTTACGTTTACGCCATTGGCGTAATTAAATCTTACTAATACAATAAAAATCTTTAGCAGTTTTGAGGTTTTTGTTTAATATTGTGAAGATTTTTGAATGTTGAAAGATTGATATTTGAAATAAGTGTAGCAACTGCAATCATTTGTGAAACCTCCAACATGCATATAACTTTCTTGTCTGTCATATGATCGGCGTATACTGGTGTAGGCAGTCAATGGCTTATTCGCGTAACCTCCGGCGTAAAATTTTCACAGATTCCAACCTGGTAACAATGGACCAATAGGGTTTGATTCGTTCGGATCCGTACTGGCTCTATGGGGAGAAAACATGAACAACAGCTGATAAAGCTACCCAATATAACGAGTTAGATATTTAATTTTAATTAAACGTAAGAACATACTTTCTGTTTTTCAGATGCATCAACATTTGACAAAAATAAAGAATACACTTCGCCCTTTACTCGATGCTACAGTTTTTGATTACTTTGATGACAAAGATATACACAGAAATGTAGCGAACAAAACATTACGGGGTGCTCTAACAACTTTAACAAAGGACATTGGTACCCCAGTTTTAATTTTGTATACAATGGTACGCTTTATAATCTACTGTTTCAATTTTGTTTCGAGTAACAAAAACGAGATATTATAGCTGTTGACTGAAATAAAAGGCTACAATCAGTGACAAAATTCGTGGACTGGTTACTATAGTAACTGATAGAGCCGTTCAATGTTGTCAGACTAAAATTGATATTTTATTTGAAGTGGTTTTAATATGTTCCATTGTGTTGTTGATAAGTTGTTGATAACTCTCCCAGCATATGGGCCATTGGGCCTGCACAACATTGAAAATAATGTAATTTGCGCAATACACCTTCAGTTCCCGAAAGTAATTTGCGCAATATACCTCCCTTCCCAGGAGGTTAATTATTTACAAAAATAAACATTTAATCCAAATTTTCCACCCTTCAGTGTCACTGATTATGGTCGTAAATGGTAAAAGCTAGTTGTAAAATTACGTTGGAATTACGATACGGACTATCCTACAATATTTGCTAAGTTATGGTTTTATTGTATTGCGCGCATGCAGTTGTACCCTATAAATTAAACATTTTCCCGACCCTTCCAGGGTTACATTGTGAGGCTAATTGTAAAGGAATATTTTCAGGCTCTTTTTGGGTTATAATCACTGTGAAATATCAAGTTAGGCAAGCAAAGTTCACTCAAATTACTCGTTGAATTTCTCGAACTTTCATTAATTGCTGCCGAGCGTAGCTCGGCAGCACACTAATCTCTACACGTGGTGTGCTTACCACGTGACCGCCGAGTTTATAGCCGCTACAATCTCGATTTATGTCATTCTGTCATCCACGGACGGGCCAAAACTAGCTGTTTTGATATTATTTTTTGTTCCCGGGGGGGTTTGTTCACAACATGGCGACTGTTATAAACGGACAGAAATATAAAAATCATAAAATAATGCGAATTTCCATAAAAATTCCGAGTAATATTTGTGAAGATGAATGGGTAAATAAAGCACGGTGTTATTTTGTGTCTCTGGCGCAAGAATGATCGACAATATTTTGAATAATTCAGGTAAGGATGGCTTTATTTCGTTCTCGTATAGTGATGTAGTCGTGCCGTGTGCCCTGTCTACCTGTCTGGTGATATATTTTATAATACATGAAGGCATTTATATTTAAATCTGCTGTTTATACTTGTTTATAGTCACTTTAGTGTATTAAACTTCGATATAGAGGCATTGAAACAAAATGATTTCAAGAATATATCGGCAATTATAATACCCACTGAATCACTGATCTATTCCCGACCAAATCGACAGTAATGATTAATGCCTTTATGCTGATACAAGAAGCAAATGAACTTTTAGTTTATTTGTTTGTTATGTCACTTAATATGTGCAAAGCCAAAGGCGGTGAGTATATAATAGTGTTCGGTACGTTCTATTTCTAAATGTTTATAGTTTAAAAACAAACGCGGGATGTTGTTAAATCAGGCTTAACAAGATTCCTAGAGCTACCCAGTGTGGATTGTTGTCTGCATATATGGACTTATCAGCAATTACATGTAATATAGCATATCAACTGACTTTTGTATAAGATATGACTTGTATAAGGCCTCAGTTATATATAAAGCCTATAAACATGATTCTACTGACATACATTGATATATACATATGGCTGTGTTACCACAATAATGCTCACAACTTCAACTTCTTTCTAACAATATAGTTTTGCAGTTCTGACTGTTCTGAGTATGATCTTATTCATTCAGAAATATAAGCATTGCACTGTATTCAATGGCAAGCTATCCTGGATTCCAGAGCCTTCAGTTAATAATAAATTGAAATATCGTGAAGGCTCTGGTTCAACGGGAGGATTCTTTGATTAAACTGTGCCAATCACAAAACAGAATTAGCAGTTTTAGTACAGATTTTGGGCGTGTTAACCCATTAAGCGCCAGCGCTCTCCCCTTGACGAGTAAAATCGTCTGGCGTTAGACAGAGTAAAATACTCTGGCGTTAGACAGAGTAAAATACTAAAGTAGGGTGCATCAGGGTGCAATGCGACCCAATGGGTTAACTAGACACATGGGCAGATAGATCAGTTAACCCATTAAGCGCCAGCACTCTCCCCTTGACGAGTAAAATCGTCTGGCGTTAGACAGAGTAAAATACTGTTCAAAGTAGGGTGCATCAGGGTGCAATGCGACTCAATGGGTTAATATAGTACATAACATAGGTCATAGACATACAGTTTCAATACAATACAAAATGATTTTGAACAACGTCAAGGTCAATGAAATCATACAAAATGAATTTATGGGATATCAATTAAATGTATTTAAAACAAACATAATTTCAACATCCCAATAAGCAATAACATCCCAGTAAGTATAAATTCAACTATTTTAAATCAATTGTTTGAATAGCCAAATTAAAAGTTGTACGAGTGACAAAATCATTCAATAATATTCACATTTTATCATTTGTATTATGTGTCAACTATCAAAGTCGCACTGTTAAGTATATTAAAATATACTTTTCATAAGATTAGATGTAAGATATAATTGTACGAAGGTAACTGAGGAACGACGATGTGTAAGACAATAAATCCTACATACAGTGAAAAACGCTCTTTTTGTAGCACATCCTACATGTACATATCGGCAGCATTTTCCTTGCGATAGTAACTCCTAGTTATAATTAATCTTACAAAATGCAAACGCGGTAAAACTGAACAGGGAAGTCAATTGACATGCTGTATCTATTATGTTTCATTTGGTGGAGAAGCAACTGAGCTTTATACAGGAGGGGGGGATAATAATCAGAGATGAAGATTATTTGAGAGGGAGAGCTATTATCAATATATATTACTGGTGTGTGCATTTTTATGACATTGAATTTTAACCTAATTTATTTCGTTTGTTTTATGCAGGGATATAGAGGATCAGGCAATATTAAACCCGATTCTGCTGAAATAACCAAAAAAGTAAAAGAGTACATGGTAAGCCAAGATACTGGTGTAAACATGGGAGGCTTATAGCTTCATTCGTTCAATATTTGACATAATTTATTAAAGTGCATGTATATATAGTAAAGCAAATATTTTTACTCCTTTAAACGGCTCCTAAAAATCATTAAAGAGTTTCGTCTAAGATATTTTCACTTTTAAGAACTTTAAGACATTGAATGAGACAGTTATTAACGATTATTGAACAAAATTACTACAATCTTGGACAAAACCCTTGAGACCATTCCAGCTAATATTACAAAGTTATTGAATATTGACAAAACAAACTTTGTCTCCCCCCCCCCCCAGTTCAATGTTGTAAACAACGCCGAAACAACTTTTGGTAATATACCATGACACAAGTTCAACATTAATTGAGTTGGGGGAGCGGGGACTTCAAAAGGGCAAGATGATTCAACATGGAGTTTATCGTCAAAGTATGTGAATTTTCTATAGGGGGAAAATAGTCTCAACCAGTTATGTCCAAGATTGTAGTATCTTCATTCATAAAACTAATCGTTATAGTCATTAGAGACGAGATATATTAATGCCAATGCACGTTTTATTCAATAATCGTGGAAATCTGAAGCAACCAGGGCCGTGCCGACTTGGGGGGGGGGGGGGTGTAACAACCCCAAAGAAAAGTCAGGAATGGGTGAATGCTAGAACGTATTAAATATTTGGAAATATTGTGAAAAATGGAGTTCAATTTGTAAAGGTCAGGGTTAAAAAAATATTTTAATCCCTTTTTAGCCAATAACGATTACGAAAAAAAATGTTAATTAAACA